TACAATCGATAAACTTAAATTTTCTTGCTTAAAATAATTAAATTTGTTTAGTTAATTATTGTACGGGTCTGACGTAACAACCCGTGTCACCTTCAGCTCAATAAAAAGCCAGTTTTAATATTATTGTCATGAAATATTAAATACACGCATTAGATAACAGTGTAAATAAAAAAAGGATCTTAATTCTTTCGTGCAAAATATCAAACAATTGAATTAAAGTTCAAAATCTCATTCATAAGAATTTTTTTAAAAAATAAAAGCAAAACCATAATTACATATAGCCTTATCCAAATGTTTTAAAGAAAGTGAAAATTTAATAACATCTCGTTCAGTGAAAATTTTATAAAGCAAATAAAACAAAATAACATATAACTCAATCTAATTAGAATTTAAAGAAAGCAAAAACTTAATAATGTGCAATCCGCCCAAAAAGAATTCTATAAAACTGTCTATTAAAGAATTTTAAAAGGAAAGCGAAGATCTAAAAGCAAAGATCTAATAATGTATGAAAATCCAATAAGTAAAGAATTTTAAAGAAATAAAAGCGAGAAGATCTAAAGCGAAAATCTAATAATGTATAACTTGACCAATAAAATTTTTTTTTTAAAAAAAAAACAAAAACCCAATAGCATGCGATTCTGTCTAATAAGAATTTAATAAAGTCCTAATAATACCTAATTGATCCATCCAAGGCAATTTTAAAAATAGCAAACAAATTAATGCTGACATCCAATAAAACTTTAAAACTCCTTTTTAAAATATTACCCATCAGTGATGCACTATAAAATATCTAAGTACGTAAAATGTCTAATTATAGTACTCTATACTCCAACTAATTCATTGCATAACCATCTTTAAGATGGCTTCCTTTTTCTCTAATTTCTATCATCAATTCTTGATTTCTATACCAAATCCCCTTCTATTAAACTTCCTTATTTTTTCTGTTATTTATTTGTAATTTTGTTTCAAGGCTTCCATGTCTCACATGGAGTTCTACATATTTCGCTTCAAAACTGCAGTATTTTGTTTTGATATTGAAATATGCTTCTTTGATAGATATATTTCTTGACTTGAAATCTGTATTTTCTACTTTTTTCTGATTCAAGAGTTAAAATTCTTTCTTGAAAATATTGCGTTTTTTGTTTTAAATCTGTATTTTCTAATTAGAGAGCTGCATTTTTCATGTTTTCTCTTATAAACATACTTACATATTTTTCATTAAATAAAAAAATTTTTAATAATATGAAATAATTAGTTAATTCAATGAATATTTTATTATTTAAGTTCAGAATTAATTCTACTAAAATTATTTGTTATACAGAGAACCCTCCCTAAGTGTACCCCCCTTGGGACCATAGGCAAAATTTTCAAAAATGTGCATTTAGAGAGGGTGTGCATTTATAGAAGATATTTTATTAAGAGTTCTATATGCTTGGGAATAAATATTAGTATGCATTTAGAGAGAGTATACATAGTCCGTGCATTTATGGAGGGTGCACTTAGGGAGGGTTCTCTGTATTTACCAGAGTTACGAATTAATTTTATGATTACAGTCACACTCCCATGTACGATTTAGTTTGGCACCAACTTATGAGAGTCCTATATTTTACTCTTTATAAATGCAAAGACCCTCTAAGAGCAAAATTTTAATTTTTTTCACTAGGGCCCCAACGGGATGCACTTAAGAGGTGTGAATGTACCAGTTTTTCAAGATATTATTTAATAAAGAAAAAAACAATTTAAATCCAAATTTGATTATTCAATTATGGTTCAAAAAGAATTTTTTTTGTCAGCTTTATTATTTAAAAAAATGATTAATATTCCCTCAAGATTTACAATTTAAACAAATGATATATAAATCGTCAAGTTTCTAGGGCTGTGAACGTGAATACAGTATCAATGAGACCCAACCAAAGAAAGTAAAAAATAAGATTTTTTTTTTTAATTGTGGTAGTTTTTAAAATGGAGTTCAAGAAAACGAATTTAAAAAGTCTAATCTTATCAGTGGGTGTAGCATGCTTGACAGAACAGGAGGAGTCGATCTTGTGTTACGATGCTGTTTAGCTCCAACAGCTCTGAAGTCTACAGTAGGGATATGAATCGAAAATCGATTAATCGTTTAGTTGGCTGAGTTGACAACTAATCGATTAATAATTTTGACCTAACTATTAATCAATTAACCAACTAATCGATTAATCGATCAACTATTAATCGATTAATCGATTAATTGCTTTTACATTAATTAGCATTAGCTTTTTAATAAAATTTTTATCAGATTTATTTTCATAAAATTAGGTCAACTAAACAACTAATCGGTTAATCGATTAATCAACTAATCGATTAATTGATTAGTTAGCAATAATCGATTTGTAATCAATTTTTAAAAAAAGGTTTCAACTAATCGATTACTTTTTTTACTCTAATTCATAACACTAGTCTACAGTCCAGTATGACCCTTTACCTGAATTGTGAAGTGGGACACAGACAAATGTTTTATGTAAAAACAAATTATTCTAATTGAATTCTATAAAATTATAAAAATGTAAGTTCATTTTAAGTTATGTAAGTTATATATAATAATAATAAAAATTCATTCTTTAATAACCTTAATGCTGGCTAAATTTATTCTGGCCGGCATTAATATTAAAGCCGGCCTGCTTGACTATGATATATAAGGTCTTGTAATGTAAATTACATTGTCATATAAGTATTACAACCCTAGCTAATATCAATTTTAATAAAATTAATGCATACTTTCCAGTCTGTATCGATGGTCTTATAGGACGTGATCATATTTGTAGTGAGAATTTTCTATTTGCAAAAGCATCCACTGATGTGGCAATTCCCGACGACACATTTGAGGACATATTTAAAAACTTTGGGTTTTATTCGATTCAGTATATCAAAGTTTTTGGTAAAATTGTTAGGCCGGCATTATGCGGAAGCTCCGTTCACGTGACCTTATCTCTACCTACGTTAAGGCAGAGATAGGGTCATGTGAATCAACCATTAACAACCATTAAGATTCATATAGCTTGGCTTGGTAAAAGCCACCTAAAAAGTGGCAACAATAATCATTGTCAAATTTTTCTTTTTATGAATTTAGTTATACTTTCAATAAGGTAAAAACACAATTACAGTACAAAGAGAAAATAAAACGAAAAGGAATTTTTAATAAAGCAAAGTTCATTCTTTGAATGTTTTGATATTTTTATTCGCACGTTTCTATCCATAGCTCTCATTGTTTCTGTGGAACTTTGCATGACATCCTTTTAAACTAAAACTGCAAAATAACAATCGCTTTTCACTTTCTAACTGCTGCTGAATTTGTATTACCACATCGTTTTTTTTCTTACAGTTTTCGAGTTAGCCTGCCTTAATGTCGAATAATATTTTTACACTTAGATTTTCTTTTATACAGAATCTACTTTCCGAAATTGTAATATTTTGATGTTAATAAAATTGACACGAAAATAAAGCAAGGTGGTTAAAATTAGTGTTTTGACCCGTTCAACTCGGGTGACCCGTCGGACTGATCCGGGTAGACTGCTGGGTATTCCCAGCCAATCGCTGATGTTTGTTTACATTAGGTAAAATAGGATTGTTAAAGTTTAACACATCCTATTTTACCCAATGTAAATAAAACATCAGCGATTGGCTGGGAATACCCGGAAGTTTAACCAGATCACCCTGACGGGTCACCTGGGTTGAACGGGTCAAAACACTAGTTAAAATAATAATAAAGGGTTGTTCAGATAAGATTCTTTTTTCTGATAAAGCTAACAAGAAATGAATCTCAACAAGTGAAACGTTCCTAAAATAGCACCAATTCAAAATCACTTTTGTTTATCTCTTGAAGAATAGTCATGATTTTTGGACTTATATTAATTATTAATTACATAATCAAATGGGGTACCTCTTAAAAACCCATTTTGACAAATTTTCAATAAATTTATTATTTGATTTTTTAAGATATATATTCGATAAAAAAGTTTGTTGTAAGTAACTGAAGCTAATTATACAATAAATAGTTCACAAAATGATAAAAATTTTTAAATTTGATTTACTCAAAATTGTTTACATATTTTAAAACTTATTAATTTTATCCACTTTTAATAATAAACTTTTGACCAAAATATCCGCTTTTCAAATATAACATTTTTGTAAAAAAGTAACCTTTTTAGCCAAAACTTCAATATACCTCTATATCTCTATATATATTGTTCGGGTCCTATTTTACGTCAGGTGATCATAGGAAGACATTCGTTTGATTGGTCAATTTTTGTAGATCTACCCGTGATTACCCATGATAATTAACCAATTAAATTACTGAATTACATTATTTTATTTTACAATATTATATAGAAAACAAGAGAATACTGGATATATGCGAAAGAAGCAAAAACGTCAAAATTTTATGCTATATAACTAAAACATATACACGAAATGCGAGAAATAATATTTTTCTCCAAAACCAAGCACATACATAATATGTTTTTATTGTCAATAAGCTCAAATCTACCACCTATGATCAATAAACCCAAAAACATTACTAACTTAAATATAAACCTAATTTTTTTCACTATAACAAACTTGCACCTACTATGCCAAGGTAAACGGTTAGTAGTTGTTTATTTAGATCAGCTTAATTGAGTTGTTAATAAATAAATTTTTTTGGTTTACCTTTCTTTTAGTTTGTTGACTGTCTACAGTGTTTTTATAAAAATAAGTTTGTATTGTCTAATAAACGAGAAGCATATTTTGCCTTCTAAGTAAAGTCTGTAGAGTTAATATTAGCATTCATTTGAAGCTAAAGATGATTTTTAAACGAATCTTTGTTACAATTTTAAAAAAAGTACTTTAAAGTGTATAAATAAGTTACTCGGGCAATTGATTTACATCAGCCAATTAGACGAAAGTCTGCCTATGATTCAGGTGATGTTTATCATCACATGATTTCATCTAATATCATAGATAATATAAATAATTTACGGGTTACATAGCATAAAAGAAACTCGCATTTCACAGGAAAATACAGATGTGTTTTTTGTTGTGATCATCCTATCAAAATCAGCCATAGGATGTATAATTTACTATGTGCTTAACTTCGCTCTTATGAAAACTTTTTGAGGAAAACATATGAAAGCGATTGAAAAAGATTTTCTTTTAGTAACACCTATAGCGATTATATTTATTAATAATGTTAGGTTAAATTATCAGGTTAAGCGGTTTCAATCGTGGTTTTTAATTATAGAGTACAATGTAATTCATTGTCTGTATAAATAATTGTGTGACAAATGTGTTCGGAAAGTGCCGGGAGCGAGTTTCCTCAATGCTGAGTTACATAAATTTATTGGTAGATTATTTTATTTGACTAAATTATCCACAGTTTATTTTAATCCGGTGAATATCCAAAGTAACCTAGAGATGTGAAATGAATATTGACCAGAATAAATAATCTACAGGTTACTTTTAACCTATGACTAAAGATTCTTACGTAATCAATAAAATTTGTTGAATGATGCAGATAATATAAATAATTAACAGATTATTTAAACCATAGATTATTTATATTCTTCGATTCGGTTCGTATAATCTATATGCATCAATAATTTTTTGTCCATTCAAAAATAAAACTAATAATATTAATCTAAAAAATTATTATGTAAATAAATGACTAACCACCACATAATGGTCTTTATGTTAATCGCAATTTTCTAATTTTCTATGACTTCAAAAACTTTTACAAAATCGATTTTTCTTTTATAGGATAACCAGGATTAAACATTTTGATCGAATCATCTCATTTACAAAACTTACAATATCCTTTTCCAATATTTGTTGGAATTTTCTTTAGCTTCTTTGAATGTTTTCGATTTCTAAACTATTCTTGATCGTTCTCAAAATTGAATTTTATTGTCTTCATCATTAATTTATTTATTCACAAACCTTTCAATAAAATGATCTACAAAATCTTTATTCTTGTCTTTTAATTTTAAATAATGTATTCAACATTTAAACCCTTCTAGTTCACTTTAGTGGAACTAACAAACACTCCATCAGTTATTATTGAGAGGATTTTACCTCTTTTCTATAAAAGGATCATTTTAACATTAGCTCATTTCAAACACTTTTTTTGAAAATACGAAAAAGAACCTTCTAGGATGATGTTGTTTATCAGATAATTTGAAATAACTAATTCCACGTTCTTCATTCTTGGTAACTCAAATTTTTCCATGATACGATCATTGCTCTAAGCATCTCTATTACAGTATTACCAAATCTGATTAAGATAGTCTAAAAACTCCTTTAATCTAATTTGGTCAGAGAAATCACATCATGAAATGAGCTTCGCTATTTCCGAATTTAACTTATATTAATTATAATAAAGAAAAAAAAACAAGAGACTAAAAAAAAAAATTAAAATAAAAAAAAGAAAGAATAAAGAGAAAGAACTTTCTCTTATAAAATTATAGTAAAATATTATATTTACCTTTTAAATAAATATAGATAGTGGTAATGACAGTGAGGAAGTTCAGATACTAGAGCCTCACAATATCCAAACAATAATTGCTCAAGTTAAGCAGGCTATTTGTGATAAATATTGGGGTGATTCGGCTTTTAGCTACTTTGCTAGACCCAAGGCTCAAAAAAATGCGTCCTATGTCTAATCATCCACGAGAAATAGCAATAAGAGTATACCGTCAAGAACTCGACAATATTACTGATACGATACCTATTCAAACCACTTCTTCCAATATAACTAATTGTTATTTTGCATCAATATTTGATGATGATGATGATGCTAATCTATTAGATGATAATAACAAATTAGATAAATATTTGGATATCAGTAAAGTGCCGATTGCCTCAAAAACAATTAAACCTTTAGAATGATGGAAAGAACGTGAAAAAGACTTTCCGAAGTTGAGTAAATTAGCAAAGAAAAACTTATCTATACCAGCTACCTCAGTGCCTAGTGAACGTTTATTCTCTGATGCAGGCAACCAAGTAACTCAAAAACGAACCCGTCTTAGTCCAGATCTTGTTTCTCAAATATTGTTCCTAAAAAGAAATAACGAGATAATCAGTATTACATAAAGTTCAATATATAAATTATAGTATTGTACAGTATTAAATATCCTACCCTTTAAATAGAATTTTTTTTTTCTTGATTTCAAGCATATATTCAGCATTTTTTTCTTTTAAATAAAAAATTGTTATTTTGTAAAGATATGAATTAATATCTATAACTTGCAAACATGTGAAAGCTAATTCTGTAATTCTTACATAATCATAACCGGGTTAACCGGGTCAACCAGATCAACTGGATTAACTGGGCCTAATCTTTAGATACAGTTCCTTATATTCTTTCAACATTAAGAATTAAACCTCTTAAACTAAATTATATTAGTCTCTAAATAGAGAGAACAAAACATTATTTGCTTAATAACCAATACGATGTTTAACTTTATTAGTATATTCTGTTAAATACATACAACTTTTATATTCATCTATTGGTGAAACTAATCTATAATATTCTGAAAGATAAAAAAGCGCCCTATTACATCCTAGACCTCTAGCTTTATGTAAAAAATTCTAAAGATTTATCAAATATATGGTCATTTAAATTATCTTGACCTACTCAACAACAAGTATGTGAATGACCCTTTTTAGCGACTTCTTCGATATATAATTTGTTATTTGAATATAACCCATCTTTATACAATCCATATTTCCTATATTGGTAGATTTACTAATCAAATAAGTACCATTAGCTTCATTTTCATCAATCCCAATACCATAATAATAACAACATCCAAAATTACATGTCCCAATGGATGTCGTAAACTCTTAGACTTTTTATAATATTCAACAGCTTTCTCTAAATTTTTATTTACACACCTACCCTTTCTATAACAATCACCTAATTTATTTAAACCATATGGATTTTTTAATTCTGCAGATTTTTGAAAATATTCAAATGCCTTCTCAGTGTCTTTTCCTATACCGATTCCAAATTCGTAAAATTCACCAATATAAGCTATTAAAAACGCATTTATATTTTTACTAAGATTTCTATCCAATTCAAGTAAATTCACCCAATTTTCAATAAGGTTTTTACATAATACAAATGCTTTATTTTCATTCCTTTTGACCCATATACTGTTACGGTAACAAAAAATTAAATTATTTAAAATATATGATTGGTACTCTTTATACAGTGACGTATGAATTTATCAGTGTTAATATTATATTTTTTCAAACAAAGTTTATCTACTGCATGCAAAATTTCTACGTCGGAATTGTTTTTACGAAGTTCAGATTCGAAAATTTCTTGCGCTGCCATAAAGTTTTTTGAACGAGTAATTGGTGCCATTAGTAAATCGTAAATTAAAGGTTAAAAAATTACATTCAATAGCTCGGCAACTAATTTATATAGGAAACAAGAACAACTTTGAACAATGGTTAATTTATTGATATATTACCGGTATACCTTTTCAATATATTTAATTTGGATATACATGAGGATTTCTAAGTTTAATTCACAATATATATGAAAGTTCTGCAGATCATATTATTGTGTAAAATCATGAAAAATCAGCCAATTCTAGTAGATTTTTCGATTTTTGGAGAATTTTAAAGATTTCGAATAAAATATAGATATTATAGATTGAAAATTATGATCAAGAGGGAGTTAAAATCTCAGAAATTTTTCCGCTATCACACCTTTTTGCAAACCGCTATAATATTATAGTCATTTTCAAACTTCAGTTTTAAATAATAAATACTTAAAAATTGTTCAATATTAATTTGTAAAACACGTATATCTTCACTTAAATCATCGTGTTCACGAGAAAACCTACCATAATCATTCACAGGTTGAATCAATGAATAACTGGTACATATTGGGAGACAAATCTCCCGGTATGTACCCGTTATTCTACCATAGATCTGCCAAATAACTATAGCATATCAGTAGCATATTGGTAGCATATAGGTTAGATATTGGGAGGTATATCGATAACGGTAACATAACAGTAACATACCGAGACATCCTGATATCTTACTCTTAGCACTATTTGGACTAAGAGTAAGATATTTTCTGTTTATTATGATTTTGAGCATTTGGAATGAAATTTAACATGATATTATTAATCGAATTTGATTTTTATCTTGATTTTTTTTGTTTAAAAGCACAATAAAAGACTTTTGTTAGTTTATACTTTTTAATAATTTTTTTTGACTTTTTTTTAATTGTGCCTTCACAATTAAGGTTTCTTTTATTCATGTTGAATGTGATTGGACTACTAAAGCTCAAAACACATTTTAATTCACATTTATATTCATGAACTATATAATTCTATCTTTTTTTATTTAGATAATTTTTTCTATTTTTAAGAATAAAGAGGTAATGCTTAGTTGACTTCGAACAAGTATAATAATTTACATTGTTTTAATATTAACCTAGATAAATCCTTATTGTTAAATTTTTGACTAACTACATCGTAATAATTGTCTTTATCACAATAATTTTTAGAAAATTTCGCAAATTTAAAAATTTCTACAAAATCAATTTTATGCCAACAAGGATTATATAACCCTTCATCATCGAAATTACCTCGTTTACAAAACCTGCAATATTCTGGAACGGGTTCATAATTATATTCTTTACACTTACACTGGCAATCATAAGTAATGCAACACGTGATTATTTTTATAATAAAACATAGTAACTTTAGAAATTTTAACCTATGATAAAAATTTTTAACAAAAATTTTTAAAAAAAATTTTTAATATCAAAATAAATTTCAACATTTGAAGCTTCTAAAAAATATTTTTCAGATTTTTTAAAAATTTTTATCATAGGTTAAAATTTCCAAAGTTACTATGTTTTATTATAAAAATAATCACGTATTGCATTACTTATAATTGCCAGTGTATCTTCCAATATTTGTCGGAATTTTGCTTCAGCATTCTTCGAATTCTCTAAAATTTCCTTAATCATTTTTATTTTTTCATTATCAGGAATTTTTTCGTCTTCATTAATTAATATTTTAAGATTATTCTCAAAATTATCCATGTCAACATCCATAAATTCTTTATCATTTTTTTTAAATTCTGTTTGATTATATAATGTAGACAACACTTCAAAATCATTTATCTTAGGTTGTTCGCTAACTTTTTCCATTTGATTTTTTGTTTTTTTATTGATAAAAAATGGATGAGGTAAAAAAAAAAAAACAATAATATTTATATTTTTTAAAACGTTATATGGAATTTGTTTGGATTTTCCTGATGATAATGTTAATTGTAATAATGGTAAAAAAATAATGTATTTATATTTTTTTAAATGTTATACAAGTGAATTTCTCACGGAATTCTTGTATCTATTTTAGGAATAAAATATTCGGTTTTCCACTCGGAAATGCTTAAGAATATTTTGTCAAAAATTGTCCTTGTTTCAAGAATCACTTTCGCTTTAAATATAGTACAGATATTAAACAAGTTACAAGTTACTCAGCAAAAATAACCATATAGCTTAGTACGCGTAGATATTGGAATGGGGTATAATTTAAAATTATTTAGCTTGCATATAAAAATTAAAATTTAGAATAACATATTTTTCCCAAATATTAATTTTTAATAGCATTTTTTTACAAATATAGGTCTTTGTCTAAATGGTTAATAAACTTTTTTTATTTATGCACAGTTTATGTTAACGGTCTTTTTTCACAATAGATAAGCATGAAACAGAAAAAATTATTCATTACATGTCGCGTGATATTCAACAAGATTCTAATAGGTTTCAAATATTAATAAATTGCAATAATTAAACCACTTAGAAACATATTGAGATAACATAGTAAATAAATAAATAAACTACTCTGAAATGCTCAAGAACATTTGTACAAGATTATACTTTTAAAACAATTAGATTTCGAATATATAGCTGTGGTCCCTCATTCTATTGATCATATGATTCTACGGACCCATGGGTCCGCAGAATCATGTGATCTTAAGTATTTTAATAATCTGTTAAAATACTTCAAATAACATAAAATGTAAAGCATATTTCCTTTCCGTCACTCATCGGATTAAAGTGAAATCAGATTAAATATTTACAATATAAAAAATAGACGATCTGCCAAAAAATAAAAATTTTTGGTGTTTAATATATATATATTTTTTTAGCACAATCAATTTGTAACCTATCCCTTTCAATAAACACCACTCGCACCAATTTTAGGCTCTTTTGGTTCTGCAGGCCAAAAATCTTGCAGATCACAGCCATTGGCCTATCAGAAAGGATATCAATGCAAACATTCGTCTACTTAATAAAAATGAAAGTTATTTGGTCAAATACGAACCATATCACACATTTGCAATGCGTATAAGAAAACAAAACAAACCTAACAATATATTGGAATGCATTTGTGACTGCTCAATCATGTAAAACAACTTTGGATGTTTACGAACGGAGAGCAAACATCAAAAGAGATCGAAAGAACAAGTTAAAACAATAAAAGAGATATTCTGTCCATCACAAAAAATATTGTCAATCTTTTAGAATACCGACCAAAATCATTTATCACCAATTTTTAATTCGAAATTATTTATAGTAGCTTCTAGCCCTTCTATATCTTTTCTCTAAAAAATACTTCTTGAAATTTTATGGATTGTGATTGGGTAGTTAGCTGTTTTATAATTCATCTGTAAGGTGCATATTGAATTCTTAATACTTTAATATTTTTATATAGCAAAGAGGAACATTACAATATATTTGTTTACTATGTATAACTAAAAAAAAACCGGGTTTCTTTTTTTTTTTGACTTTCTTTTTTATCACATCTAATTGTGAAGATATATTTTTATCTGCAATTTCTTTATAGAGTTTAAAAGCACTTTCTACATCATTAATTTTCTTATAGCAAGAAGCCATAAGCATCTTTATATTTTTGTAGTCATCAGGAATTTCTTTAGCAATTTTTAGTGCATCTTTGTATTTCCTATGAGTTTTATGGTGAAATGCAATTTTATACTTGGCCTCAATATGGAATTCAGGATTATTTTTTGCAATCTTCAAATAAATTTCTAAAAGACCCTTATTTGAATATTTGTTTCTAAGATTTTTTACTTTCTGTTGAAATTCTTGAGATT